GAAAAAGCCTTTGATCATTAAAACATTAACATTGGAAATGAGAAAATTATGTACTAAAAAAAGACCAAATATGCAAATCCTCCCTCCCTTCAATTATTTTTGAATTGAAGCAAATTAACTACTAAAAAGAAAATTCAAGCAAATTATCACCTCAAAATTTTATTTTTAAAAAAATTCGATCTAAATATAATAATTATAGTTAACTTTTTATTAAACTTCTAAACCAATGGTTTAACAGAGACCAATTTCTTTAAAATAAAAATTTGAGGTAGCCATTTACTTCAACTTTTTTTTTTCTTTTTTCTTTTTTTTTTTTTGCTAGTTTGCTTCAACTCAAAAAGTATGGAGTTTAATTTGCACCTTCTGCCCTTAAAAAAAGCAGCAAAGCCATGACGAATTGAAGCAACTTTTGGACTAATTTTTTTAAATGAAAAAAAAGGGGGTAATTTTATTCATAAAAAGAGTACCCTACCTCTCACAACACTTCACAAACTTAACTTCTTTACACAAGGACACCTCATCACAAAGCAGCCCTCTACAACTAAAGAACAGACACAAAAATATAGTGAACTGTCTTCAATGCAAACACCAGAAAAGCAAGCCTAGAGAAGGAAAGGATTGGCCAAATCAACCATTCTGCAACATAATATCAATCAATGCTATAACAATAACCTGCACGATGAACAACCATCAGCGAGTGCTGAAAAAGTAGTTGGCACACTCTCTCGGATAAGTCCAATCATAGAAACAACTTGAATCTTCCTTTGATCCAAAAGTAAGCTGCTGTAAATCTCTAATGGAGAAAATCATGGTCAGAAAAAGAAAATATCATTCTGGTCAGTGTAATAAGTTGACAATAATGATGTTGGAATACCTTATAATCCAAGCGGTCGCCAGGATAGTATCCTTTCAGAAAACTCTGCCACATCCTGCCTGTAGATGGCATGAAAAAATATTAATATAGTTATCCCAATAAGATTATAAATAATTATTTCCATAATACTTACGAATGCGTTTTCAGGTACTCATTAACTGCCATGTAAGCATAACCAGATACATTTAATCTCTTCTCAATAATTGACTCCAAAACATCAACAGAAGTCGGATTTGGAGGAATAGGATTTGGGGCGGGGGCACTTGAAACAGCTCTGCCCCTTGAAACAGCTCTGCCCCTTGAAACAGCTCTGCCCCTTGAAACAGCTCTGCCTCTGCCCCTCGAAATAGCTCCGCCCCTTGAAACAGCTCTGCCCCTTGAAACATCAGAGACTTGAACCTTCTAAAAGAGAAAAGTTAAGACACAAATTAATACATTAGAGCCATCCTATCTTTTATTAAAAGAACTTGCTAAAAATTCAGGGTTTTTTAATTTCATTCTTTAAATATTCCTTTCACTCCCTTTCATCTATACTCTACCATTTAAAGTAAGAACCTCAATCTGGTCATCTAATTATTAATCTTATCACAATCAACCAAATCCATCATCAACAGCCAACATGTTGCCAAACAAAGAACAGCAGCAAACAGTATTCAACAATTCTTAACTGAAAAACTACTTGAAATAATGCTTTATAATGCTTTTCCTTTATTAAAATACATGATAAGTAAAGCTGACCTGCGTATGTGGGAGATCAGAATGCAAATGTTTGAAAATGTTGACAAAGTATTTAATCATCCCCACCTTCCGCTCGTGAGGTTTATAAAACATGTTTCCACGAGCAGCAGCCATTTTAGAATTTCTGAATTCTTCATTATCTTTCAAAACATCATCTTTCTTGGATAGAGACTTCTCCCAGCTACCCCATTTGATGATGCGTGACAATTCCGTCTTGATTGATGGATTATAGCAGAAGGCCTCCATATATACATCATGAACATAATGAATCCGATCATACCATTTGTGTAGGAAGGGTGGATCAAAGAAGAAACGTGCACAATGTCTGAAAGAAAGGAAGACAGTTAAACCATACACAAAAATCACAATTTGAAAAATAAGTAATTCAACTCACTTATAAGGCTTCTAGGACTGCAAATATTTGTAGAGATTCTGAAGGCTCTTTGGAATATGAGCCGAAGATTCTGGCAAAGGTTGTGCAAATTTGGGATCTCCAATTTTCTTTGATACTTGTTGCATATCTCCTACTGAGATTCCATATATAAAGGATAAAACCTCAGACAAATTATTATTCTCCGACGCAGGAGGTCTCGAATCCACTGTCACCTTTGATAGAAATTTGACTTTATTTTCAGCTATAATGTAAACTGAGTTGAGCAAATCCGGATGGTAATAACGTTCTGGAGGATAAACCATCAAAAAGCCAAAAAGAGGCCTACAAAGACATAAAAGAGAATAGAAAGATCAAAAAATAATAGGGATTGTGGAAAATTAGGACGCCCTAACAACTAAAAAGCCAAGAATGATAATAAATCAACCCAGAAGGAAGATTCAATAAAAGCATTTCAACAATTTCAAAGGTAGTCCTGGCATTTTAAATAACAATACAGTGCGATTTTCACTTTTCTCAAAACAATAACCAGTTACCCACATATCTAGGAAAATACAAAACTACATGCCATTTTACCTCAGTAAAGATCGTCCAGATATGGAATTATCCTGCTCCTTCCAAATATCTCGCTTACGAGGAGTTTCTAAAAATTTTTTGGTCCAAGACATGAGTGTGGACTCAAAACGCTCGCAAATCAGGGTGTCAGTATGTTTATCATAAGCATAAACTTCCAAACAAAGATTTGAGAACCCCTTTTCTTGCATACGTGAAGCAAATTCATCTTGCACGCGTGAAGCAAATTCATCTTGCTGAGATACCCCTGTTTTGGAGAAGTTTTTCACTATGCAGCATTCCTTTTTCACAACACCATTATCATAAATCCCGTATAATATATTGGCATCATTCAGTGGATGAGGAGGATCTACTGGCCAGTAAGTGGTGGTAATGGTAATAATGGGTCCAGCTTCTGTAAGCCTACAATAGACAAATTACAAATCGGTTTAAAATGCATAGAGTATAAACATAGAAATTATGAAATGTTGATGAACTACTAAAACATTAAGAGATCAGGAACTAAGCTCAGAAAACAGATGACAAGTTACTAGAGTTTACCCAGAATGCACCATTTAATTAACTATATAAGTGCCACCTGAAAAAGTCTAATTAGGGTTCGTAAAGGTGTTAAAATTGAAGAAGAGATTTCCAGAATTTTGCCGCAGGGGAGGGAAAGATTTTGGACTGCTACGGTGCCGGCGTGCCGCTGTTCACTGCCACTGCTCACATCTCACGCACTGGCGGGATGGAAATCTATTTGGTGATCCCAATCATGTGGAGCCAGCCTTAAATAGTAGGATTTGGTTGCTGCTGCTCACTGCTCAAGCAAAGAAGGATAAAATTTGTTGCCAGAAAAAGGAGTAGATAAGGATCAGGAAGCGAGCTTGAATGTAGAAAAATGGTAGAAAAAGAAAGAAGATGATAAGGCGAAGAAACTGAAAGTGTGAAACAATGGAGGGGTACTCTTTTTCGTGGGTAGTATGTTACACGTGATTGGTGTTGGTTTTTGGACAATGTTAGCTGCTAGGGGCACTCTCCAGCCAACACATACTTCTTTATTGGGCCACCCAACCTTAATTAGCCATGAATTGATGACCTCTCTGGAAACCAACATGACGTGGTCCAATGAAAATGGAAGTATTGGCTGATGTAAGGTTGTCAAAATCAAAATTTTACCTAAAATTATTTTGGAGAAGTAAAATCAGAATTGTAAAATCGAATTCATAAAATCAAGATTTTACTAAATTTAATAAATAAATAATAAAAATTTATATTTTATATTTATCAAATTTAATAGGAGAAGTATTTTTTTATGAAAGAGAGATAGACAATTAACCACAAGATGTTCTCTATTTTATATATTTTTAAAATATTAAAAGATAAAAAAATCTTATAATTACAGCCAAATACCGTTAAACTATAAGTCAAAATCAACAAAGAAGGGGAGAACCGGAGAACGGATAGCTTAATAATGACTTCCTGTCCAATTTGTGCTTACGCGGTTTTGACACGGCATGTGATAGACGGCATGTGATAGAGATGTACTTCATGCGGTTAATTTTGCCTTACTTTTCAAGGACTGCTTTTTTTGAGGAATTATTTTTCAATGACTTAAATCTCAAATGTTGCATCCTATCAAAAAAAAATCTTAAATATTGCATTTTTAAATTAATACGTATTAACTTGATCAATTATTATTAGTATTATAACAAAAATAATAGAAGAGGAGAGATAAAAAAATATTTATTAATTAAATTTTTTAAAAATTTAAGAGAGAAAATATTTTAAAATTAATCATTTAAATAATCTATTCACACTTTTTGTGTTTGGACGATTCATCTTTTTCAATTTCATGAGATTTTGCCTCTATTTCATGTTTTGATGGGTCTTCTCCTTCAATTTCATCAAATTTGACTTTTGTTTTCTGTACATTAAACATATATAGTATCAATAAAACATATAGATATAAAGTAAAGTACATTAAAAAAAGAGGTAATGTAAGATAGATGAAGGAGTGCTTGCATCAACCAAAAGTTAGTAAAATTACCAAAAAAAAAAAAAAAACAAAGAAGTCTTATGTTAAGAATTTTCATTTGAAAAACAAAAAACAATTAATTTCATAACAAAGAAATAGCTTAGCTAATACTGCTACGAATACTCTATGCTCCTCTTTATATGTACAAACTTTACAAACCCTTTTTCCTATATCTCCAAAGCAATTAATGGCCCAAAACTATTTAAATAAACTAAGATATTCTATGTTTCTAAAATTTTTTAAGATTTTCAAAGTTGTCTAATTTAGACAAGAAGTTATTCAAGTACTTGATTTTCCTTTTGAAATTTGTTTTTAGAAATCAAG